TTCCAGCCGCTGCTGCCGCCCGCTGCCCCCTGCGCCGCTGCTCGGTCACCCGGCGTGACAGCCCCCTCTTTAATTTAGAAACCCATCCAGGTGGTCTGTAAGCACCTTCACTGTTTCCGCCTTTCAGCCGCATTGAATTTCTTTCTTAAAAGGGCCTGTGTTGTTCCTAAGCGCTTCTGTTGCGAGGGCAGTTGATAGACTTAAAGGCAAGAATACATCGCTGTGTTGTCTGTCTCTCAGTGTTAGAAACCTCCAAGTACCTCCGTAGTTTTGTTTACGAAAATAAGATTTCCGAAAAACACGTGGGCTTGCTTCAAAGCCACTGGGAAATGCAGAATCTTTTTTTGGTAGTGTCTCCCAGTGCTTAGTGATCCTCGCTGTTAATAAAGTAACTCCTGCATCTTCAGTATTGTCTGGTTTCATGGTTTTTCTCCCTTTTTCTGCTATTGCTTAGGAACACTTTAGCATGCATTATATCCCTTCCTGTTAAGGTGCTTAAGTATCTCAAGACATCTTTGTGTCTTCAGTTTTGGTCTTGGCAGCGCTATACGCAGAAGTAAAATCTTCTGGGTATTTCTGTATTCCACATGTCTAAGGAAATGTCTTGCCATAGTGGTGTTCTGGACATCCTTGTGCAGTTGCTTGCTGCTGCTGCTCCCACTGAGATGCAGGCCCGTATTCGGTATATGTGGCTTGCGTTTTTTTTGTCCCTATACGTGAGATTTGTTCATTTGGCTGTATTGGAGCACACCAGCCATTGCCCTCCTTCGGCCGCTTCAGTGTCTGCCCTGGGCTCGGCACCGTACAATGCTCTCTGGGTTTTGTGCAACCGACACATTTGTTTGGTGAGGGATCTTCTGCTTATTTCAAGATTATCAATGAAAACACAGAATATTTTTTTTTTTCAGTATTCTTTCCAGTTTCTGAAGGACATCATTAGAAGTACCTCAAGTTTGTTGTGATTCTTCATTAAAGATCATTCAACTGGCTAACTGATCAGTTAGCTAGCTCTGTTTTTATTAATGATAATGCACTGCCAAACTAACCCTTTTTTCATAAATGCTAGTATATCACATCAAATTACAATAAGCTTTTGTCTTTTTTTTTTTTACCAGTTTAATTAGTTTTGAGAAAACAATCTGGTTTTAAAGGACCTCTTATTTCCATAGCTTCCTTGACTAATGTTAGTTATATTCCTATCTTCTGTGTAATTGTTTCATTTTCAGCTGGTTATTCCAATTATTTTGTGAAACCTTCTGGAAATCTAATGCAGCATTCGTTATAGTATCTTTACTTTTGAAAGCTTAGCCCTTTGTTAACAATCGTGTCTTTGACTCAGTAATAATTGACCAGTGTGCAATACCCCTTGCTGATTGCTCAAAAACAATGAGGTATGTTCATTTCTCAGGGAGCTCTTACATGTTTGTATTGAGTAACAGAAGAATGCGATACAACCCCTGTCCATTTACTGTAATGTTAAAAAAAAAAAAAGGTTCCTTTTTGATGTGTAGAGATAGGTTAATATTTAATGATGATAAGCTGCACATTTACTACAAAATAATAGTTTGCAACAGCAAGCCCTTAATGGCTGAAGATGGTCCTGCTGACTTCACCAGAAGTTTCTGCCTAGATGACAATTGCTGAACCTGTTACCAGTCTTTTTCCTCACTGTATTCATTACAGTAGTATCATATTTTTCATTCTTTCTATTATCAATCATAAAATTATGTATAGGAGGTAACTTCTGCTCTTGTTAAAGATAAAACCTGTTTAGTCAGTAGCTGACCCTGTACTCTAAAAACCTTGTGGGGACTCCTGCACTGATGAATCCTCTTTGGGGCCTTCCTGTAGTGTAGATTAAAGTAACTCACTCAAGTGTTACCCGGTGATCTTTAAGTGAATTGCACTAGTGGATGTTAACTCTGTATTATATCACCCGCCTCTGTATTCACAGAAATCTGTATTCTCATACTCGCATCCAGTTTTATTTGAGAGTAGAAAAAGTGTAATCTGAGAGGACCAACAAGGAAGGAAAAACACCAGCACTTCATCTTTCAGATAGGATTGGGTCCTTCTTTAGTAGAGATGCTGTGAAGATTTGGTTTTGGCTTTTTCTTCTGTTTAAAAGAAGTTTAGGGTTTTTTTCCTTAGCTGTATATAATGGCATCATAACAGTCCTAAAATTGAAACAAATTGGGAACAGTTGTCTGTACAGTAAAAAAAAAAAAAAAAAAAAGGTGGATTCTTAGGAGGTTATAGCCATAAACAATTATAACAGTAATTCTAGAAAAACATGTTGAACAGACTTGGACCTGGCTTTTACCATTACTTTAGGGGGGCAGGGGGAACAATCCACGTAACTAAATTCACACAATCAAGTTTTCTCTAGCAAATTATGTGGACTGAAACTCTCAGACTCGGGCAGCCACCTGGGTAAGTACGAACGTTTAACCGGACCTGAAAAACTGGAGGATCCCTGTAGTTTCACAGTAGATACCAAACCTGGGAAATTCCTCTAACAAACAAAAATCTCCTTGGCTGTGAGAGCTACAGAATGTTCCTCGTGCCCAGCTGCCCTTCTGTAATGGCATTACGGCTCCTCGTCTGTCCAACGTCTTCACCAATGCGTGCAGCGCCTGCCTGCAGAGATGCCCGTGTCAGTGATAAGAGACAGCTCCTGTGCACAAAGCTCGTGCAGGGGAGGGAAACCAGAGGTGCCTAAGCAATGTGCAAAGCCTGACACAAAAAGCGACATTCAGGCTTTACCTATGAGATGTAGGCCTGATATTGGAGCAAAAAGTTCAGGTCAACTTTTAAACAGCCTAATCTCAGAATAGTTATACTGACCTGCATTACTCTATAATAACATAGAATTATATTTATGCTTATAATTATAGAATATAATTACTCTAGAATAATACAGAATTATGTTGAGCCTCCTACAAGGAAGTGTCAGTTACAACGTTCCTGGACTGGTAAATTGGTAATTCTGAAACTGGAAATCAGTAAATCTGGGGTACCTAACTGCTTATTGCATCCAGGAAACCTGATTTTTTTGTTTTCCTTATTTAGCTTATTCTGCATTATATAGTTTGCCCATCAGCACCAAAGGCTTTTTGAGTATTTATTTAAAATATGGTGTTTGTCCTGCGGCAGCAGGTGTGCACGTCAATGATTAGGGGTGCCGAGGCCCTGGTCTCAGTTTGATGTGCAGAATACTTACACCTTTGTACGCAAGCTCACTCACATACCTGCTACTGTGCATATTCTGCAACATTTTCCGGAGCTGCAGAAAATATGTAATTTCTTTTTTTTTTTTTCTGCCTAGGATGATATATGCCTTCCCTTGCTGTAAGCATACCTAGATCATCCAAGAGAGAGTGAAGTCTATGACTTTTACAAGGTCATTTGGTTGATTAGAAATCAAAGCCTGTGTCCATTTGGAAATTATGATCTTTGTACTCCAGCGTAAAGTGTGTGTAATCATGCGGTGCATAACCTGCAGAGGATGCCGCCTCTCCACATAACCCGTTGCCTAGGGGCTGGAGTGTGCCATCTGTCCGCTCGGCTCATCGGTTCTCAAGAAATCAAATGCTAAACTTCACAAATCCCATGTGATTAAGAGTGACATGTTAGGGCATACAGGACTTTACTAGTTCTTAAGTTTGGAAACAAAGAGAGTTGATAACAATAAAGCGTCGATACAAGCAATATACCAAGAAAAGCAGCGAGACTTAGAAGCTCCTGACTGTTTGCAAGCAGTCTGACGTGGCCTTCCCGTTGCCACTCTGCGCAGTCATTTTATTTCAGAATTCAGCTGGAGTTGCTAAGCTGTTGTCCTGAGGGTTGTGCTTATTTTTACAAGCATTACCTGCAAATACATTGCAAATTGGCATCTTTATCGTCTGACCAGTCTGCTTAGTTTTGCTGCTGCCTCTGGTGTTAGCCAGTCTTGACACAAGGTTATGATTTATTTTTTTTTTTTTAAACACTACTTATAGTGCTATGGAAGTAACAAATATTTCTTAATCATCAGCTTAACATGCTTGCTTATGTGTTTAGAGTAGTTTTTGTTTTGTGATGACAAAAATTCTCTTAACTGTGAAGATGCTTCTTTTGTTTGTTTTGTTTTTAAAACCAGAAAATATTAAAATAGGAATCTTGGAAATCTTTTCACTTTCCAAAATGTGATATATACACTTCTGTCAAGGAAGCATGTTCACTTAAGGACATAAATCTAAAATAAGTAATACTTGAGATTGTACTGACTTAAAATTAGGAAGATGTAGCAGGAGTTCTGGTGTTCTTGAAGTGATGTGCAATGTTTTGGTGCTGAAATAACCCAGTATTGAGAGCGGGAAAGAAAGTCGGTTCTGTTAAGAAACTTAAGGTATTAAAAACAAACAAACAAAACCTTTTCTAGAATACCTGAATTTTGTATCTACAGAATCCCAAAACTTCTGCAATAGTGAAGCAGCTGGTTGCTGAAGGAAATGCGGGAGAACTGCAGAAATACTTCGGCTCGCGGATGGAGTTTGGCACAGCAGGGCTCAGAGCTGCCATGGGAGCAGGGATTTCCCACATGAATGACTTAACCATTATCCAGACAACCCAGGTACTGTGTTCGGCACTATATCGCACTTAACTGGTTGTATATATGTATGGAGGAGCCTCATTTATGACAAGCAAATGAGTATTCTATGGAAGTACAAGGTTTTTACTAGTCCTCCAGTTTTCAGAAGTAATTTAAATGGTAATTATTAGCAGAGTGCTGATCTCTGAAAACAAGCAGAGAGAAGCAGCTATTAAGCCATTAAAATAAGTTATTTTCCATAATTGATTTGTGATTGAATTTATACACAGCTACAGTTAAGCTCAAGTGGATCAGTTAGTCCTGATGTAACAACTACAAAAAAGCCCAAAGATAGCCAGCATTTGGCTAAGCTTTGTGTATGTTGGACATAAATTTGCATAAATACACTGAAACTATATATGTGCATATAGGTCCTAAAGTAGATCTACTTGGAGAGAGCTTAAAAAAACCCAAAACCTTAAATTACTGCAACCTGGAATGGTGGCGTATCATGTCCTAAACAGATGTCTTTATTAAGGGTGAGATTCAGTTAAAAAACTGAAATATTGGCCAGTTGTTCTCTTCCTCATCTGAGACCTAACACAGCTAAATAATTTCTCAAAATCTGCAATTCAGAATAATCATGTTAACGGTTTTCTTTCTGGAGTTCATTCTGATTTTTGGAAATGTACTTAAATGCTGTCCAGCTTCACAATATTGATTTGCGGGTTTCTGATATTTCTTGGTGTTTACTGGTCCTACACAAACTGAATCCCAGTCCAATCCAGTGAGATGTTAGGTGTGCTCACCTTTCTGAGACATCAACATCTTAGCAATCATCTTAATACAATGATAAATTAAATATTAAGATCGCGTTAATGAGGTGGATTTGTTGTTGTCTTCAGGGATTTTGCAGATACCTTGAGAAGAATTTCAGTGACCTGAAAAAGAGAGGAGTTGTGATTGGTTTCGATGCTCGTGCCCATCTTTCCAGCGGAGGTAGTAGCAAAAGGTACTTTTTAGGTTTTAAGTGTTTTGTAGATATCTTGTGTGATCCATTATGGTTTTATATCTGCTTGAAGAGTATTTTCTCTTTCTGTAGGGTGAATTAAGGTGAGGGATTTATAGTATTTTTATATTCTGTTAGTGCCAAAGCAGTTCTTAGGTTATGCTTTGTCTGTTGGGAATAGTGAGGGAATGCATTTAAATTGGGTCTGTATAATAATTTGGTGTTTATTTATGTGAGGTTTGGTTGGTTTTTTAAATTGAAGTGGGAAGGGAAGCTGTGAATTCTAGGAAACTAATTGGTGAGAAAATGAATATATTTCCTAGGCATCTTTTCTTCCTGTCTAGGTTTGCAAGACTTGCTGCTAACACCTTCATCAGTCAAGGAGTTCCAGTTTATCTGTTCTCTGATGTCACACCAACTCCTTTTGTGGTAGGTTGCTCTATTATGTCTTTTTATATACACACAAATTCTGTCAGATATCTTGCATTACTTACATTAAGGAAAACTAGACAAACCACTTTTAACCTTTTAAGCTCTACCTGCAGTTAGTCTTATGCTTATTTAACTGTATTTAGTTTACAACATCCACAGCAAAAGAAGAAAGAAGCTTCATGGAGTATCAGTGACAGTGGGATGCGTTTCTATTCATACCTACTTTCAGGCAGATTTCTTGTAGAAGACATCTCATCATTTCTAGGTTGCTGTGGAGTCTGAAGTCAAACGTACATTTAGTTTTGTGATGGTTGGTTGGTTGGTTTGGTGGTGTGGTTTCCTACTTTCAGGCAGATTTCTTGTAGAAGACATCTCATCATTTCTAGGTTGCTGTGGAGTCTGAAGTCTGAAACGTACATTTAGTTTTGTGATTGTTGGTTGGTTGGTTTGGTGGCGTGGTTTGTTTTTGTTTTTGTTTTTTTTAATTTATTTCTTTTTGGGGCATTGAATCCCCAGTAGCCTTGTTAAATAGCAGGTTGTTGGAGTGCAGTGATGCTATGCCGGGAGGGTTGTTGAACGTGTCTGCCTTTTCACCAACAGAGCACTAGGTGTCAGTTCTCTAGAGCAATAGAGAAAACCCTACCTTTGCACTAAAAGCAGCAGTTTCTCCCGATACCAGTGAGTGCTGCAAACAGAACCTAGCGGGATGAAGACTTCATATGTAACGTTCTTGTACTGATACAAATTTTGGTAGATTTAGAGTCAAGTTCTTCATAGAGCAGCTTAAAGCAGCGTTCCAAGAACTGCAGTCGGTTGCATTTGCTGTTAAATAAAGAGCCAGGAGTAAACTTGAACTGGACCTGTGATCACAAATAATGGTTTATTTTTAATTCACTCTATCTGCTTTGGACTCATTTATAAGAGCTCTCTCCTAAACAATTCTCTTCTGAACCACGATGGAGTAGTTGCTCCACAGGCTGCTCTCAAAAGATAGTACAGGTGAGACTGCTCCAGCTGCAATCCCCTACCCTGTGCAGACTTCTGTCATTACCTCAACAGACTTTGCACCCATAAAGACCTCACGTATCTTGAGTCATTCTACAGTAGGCAACACATGCATTCAGTTTTCTTCTATAAAAACACTACTCTCAAGAGCCACAAAGCATCTGAAACAACACTAAGAATATATAAATAGGAAAATGCACAAGTAAAAGCAAGGGCCAAAGTTGTGCCACGTGGGGTCTAGTGGAGCAAGTACTACTTAACTTCTACTTTAGAGAGTCTGTAGGAATCACATCCTGGCTTTCTTTTTGTTCAGCAGTATGGAAGTATTGCATATGCATGAGAATAAATAATATATACTATTTTGCACATTCTACTTCAGATAACTTTCTCTTGTTACAGCCATACACAGTAACTCATCTGAAGCTTTGTGCTGGAATTATGGTTACGGCTTCCCATAATCCAAAACAAGATAATGGTTACAAGGTATTCCTATACAATCTATTTTCTGGCTTTTTTCAAACATTTTTTTTCATGTAGAAGCATTAATACTATTGTATATAGTTCCTAGCATGATATAGACCAAATTAATTGATAGTTTGATCTCTTCTAGGTATATGTATTTAAAGCTAGTAGCATGTTACACTAATAACATAATTAAAATCTTAGCTCTAAAAAGTAGGAAGGTAAGTAATACCGTTGCCTACTTTGGAACACTTCAAAATACTGACTGACCTCTTTTCAAAAGCATTAATCATTTCTCCAATTCATGATTTAAAAAGATCTGTTTAATTTCACAAATCCAGAGAATTAAAAATATGTGAAACCTAATGTCTTGGTTGTACAAAACATTTTCAATAAATTCCATTACTTTCTTGTAGTGTAGTTTTCTTTTGCCAAGTGACACAGTTATCAGTGACCTTTTTCTATGATAGAAATCTGCTTTCCAGTGAAAAAAACATGGCTGAGCTGCCTGTCTGCCAGTCATCCCATAGCTGGACTAGTCATGTACAGACTTTCCAAAATACAAAAATGGAAGCTGGGAGATCTTTTTTGTCGTCTTAATAGAGAAACAAGGCATTAGCAGGGATGATTTCTTGCTGTCTCTCCCTCCAGAACTTCATGTCTATTTTAAAATTTGCTTCTTTTATTTCTTTTTTTTTTTAATATTTCATGCATTGATCTCGATAGCTTGTTTGGATGTTTTATCAATTACTTTTTTAATTTACTTCATTTTTTCTTAATGTTTTGTTATTTGGGCTACATATGTACATGGCCTAGACGCTGTTATGTATGTTTCCTTAAACTTGTGATCTGCAAACCATCAGTAGAAGGAAGTGTGCAAACAAGTGTCAAAAAGTAAAACATGATAAGTACACCTCTTCCTGGATGTGTAAGCAATCAACAAAAAGGAGAAGGCTACAAGTAATGAACATCTTGAAACTTAGTTGAATTTGTGCTTGCTGTTGTGGCAACGCTGCAACTACAGCAGCAAAGTTTTTGTGCCTTTTTCCTTAATTTTTTTTGTGGCAAATGTGTTTCACTTTTGCAGACTTTTTTCCTCTTAAGAATTCTTCTCTATATAGTGATTATACTTAAAAATCTATAAGAAAGTATATGAAATAGCATGGGCAAGTTATCAGTCCCAAGGCTGGCAGATGAGCTGATACTTGAATCTTCTCAATAAATGAGCTGGATCTTGTTTTGTGTTTCATTATGGGTTTTGATATCTTCTGAGAAAATGAAACAGCTTTTTTTGTAGAAGAAAAATAGGGTGTGCGAGGAAACACTGAGAATATGAACAGGGGAATACACTGGGTATGCTTAAGCCCAATTTCCTGTAATACTGTACCAAGTGTAGTGCACCTTAGCCAACAAAAAAATAACAAAGCTATCTTACAGTATTGATGACTGAATACTCACTTACTCTATTTATTATTTAGGTTTACTGGGAAAATGGGGCTCAGATCATTTCCCCTCATGACAGAGGAATTTCTCAGGCTATTGAGGAGAACGAAGAGCCATGGCCTCAGGCTTGGGATGACAAACTGATTGACAGCAGCCTGCTACTTCATGATCCATATGCCACGGTCAATAAGGATTATTTCAAAGACATACAGAAACAGTGCTTTCACAGGTAACTGGTGTTAACTCCATTAAGAGTATGGGATTTTCTATCTAGTACGTCAGTGGGGCAGTTTAAATTGATGGAAGTCAGGGCGGCAGTGATCCCGCCATGATCCAGTTCTGTCTGTGCCGCCTTGTCATCTGTGGTGGTAGCACTGGCAGCTGTGTGGTGACGTAAGCCAGTTCATAAAGCTGCTCTGGCAGAAGTCTAACCCAGCAAAGCAAGAGATTAGTTTCTGATTATATCATCTCCCTGTAGTTGCATGACTACCCATCAACCAAATACCACTGCAAGACTGGGGCTGTCTTGTGCAGCTGGGGGTAAGTGGACACTGGTGGTCCAACAGCCTTAAAATGGGCTTCTAAGAGAGAAGGTGCACCAGGCTGTTAAGCCAGTTCTGGGAGAAGGAGGTCTTGCTCTGTCATTGTAGCCTTGTGTGTGATCCTGGTGGCCTTGGGCACCTTGCATAAGCCTGTTCCTGTCACTTGCTCAAGTGAAAACTTTATTCAACAGAATCAAGTGGATGTTTCTCTTTGTGATTAACAAGTAGAATCAGTTTATCGATTAGATGAGTAGCAGCCTGTTAGATCTGCTTATTTACACCAAAATTTTAACCACCAGTAACCATGTTCCTACTCTTGCTAAAAACAAAGTCAGAATTACTAGAAAGTTGGGGCTATGTGAGAAGTTACGCTGCTTTTTCAGAATAGGAGTTAAATGTCTCCTTAGGAGTTTGCATGCCTTTAGGTATGTTCCACACTTTCAGTAATGTACTTCATAAAAATGAGTGCACTCAAATGAGGGATGCTGCTTTCAATTCACTGTCTTCACAGTCTTCACAGTCTTTGGAGCTGGTTTAAATGCCAGAGTTGGGGATGAAGAGTCTTATTAGTCAGTTGTATTTGTTTTCCACTCACCTCCTTTGAGGTGCATAGAGTGCACTATCTTTCTTATTCCAGTGATTTGCGCATACTGGGACATTAGATATCAAGAGTGACTCATATTGCTGAAAAATGGGGCTAAGCCAGTTTTCAAGCCATTACCTTTGAGATCTGACCTCTTTAAATTATAATTTTAACAGTGATGTAGAATACTGAATCATACCTGTTTCTCAATATAGTCAATTTTGTGCAAAATGTTCTTCCATATCCAAGTTTACTGTTTATATGTCTTATTTCAGGAATATAAACAAGGAAACAAACCTGAAATTTGTTCATACTTCTGTGCATGGCGTAGGTCATAAATTTGTGCAGTTGGCCTTCAAGGCATTTGACCTTAGCCCTCCTTTTGCTGTTCCGGAGCAGAAGGATCCTGATCCAGAATTTCCTACAGTGAAGTATCCAAATCCTGAAGAAGGCAAAGGTGTCCTGGTAAATACATATTTATTTTTTTTTTAAATAGTTGTGATGTCTTTCAAACAGTGTTTCCTTTCTGCCAGTAGTCATGGCTGTAAATATTGGTTGAAGGTCTATTTTGTTTCTGTTTTCATAGCCTTACATTTAGTGAAGAGTTAGCTGGTATCCTTTCATTGAAATGTATAACTCTTTTTGAACGAGTCAGATAATAATTAGCTATAACTTTAAACTACTTTGTTCTGTGCTCTAACAGAATGCGGAGCATCTGCACATAGTACAAAGTGACACAGTTCCTTTTAAAAAAATTATAATTAAAAAATCTTCACAGTTGGTTTTGGGAAGTTTCTACAATTTACATCTGAAATACAAGGACTCAGTTGTTCTGATATGACACCAGGAGGGAGCAGGGGAAGTCCTGACAGATGTTTAAAATTTCTTCTGCAAGTACTTCTGCCAGACTTTGTTATTGAAGGATCCTGTTGAATGTAAGTAGCGTTTGACTCGGGCTGCAGAAGTGGAATGATGTAGGTGAAGTTAAATATCCTGACCTCTACTGCTACCAGGTGTGAAGTTTATTTTCTGTAGAGGCACATCATGACTTTGGGTATTTGAGATTAAGTAAACTGGGAGAATTATTTAAAACCTACAAAGAAAGTGAAAATACTAATTACGAGTATTAACACTCATCTGGTCTTGCTTACCACTTTTCCAGACATTGTCTTTTGCTTTGGCTGAAAAAGATGGGGCAAAAATCATTTTAGCAAATGATCCTGATGCTGATCGACTTGCAGTGGCAGAGAAACAAGAGAGGTATGGTAATAAAGAAATGCAAACCATTTACATTTTTTACTTAAGGGCTAGGCTCACTTGGGGGATTCTTGCTACTTGTATTGCAGAGGAAGATAGAATAGTTGGGTTTGGACTGAAAACACACAGAAATGCGAGAGGATTGTATGAAGCAGACCACAGTGAGGGCAGTAAATGAAATTATTAATATTAGATGCTGTACAGAAGCCTGGATAAATACTTGATACTGCTGTACTTGAGGCTTGCACAGAAGCATATGAATTGTTGTGATTGTGCTACACCTTTTTGAAGGTAGATTTTCAGTTAGAAATTTTTCACGTAAGACTGATAAACATTCCTTGATACTATGTTTATTAAATAATTACTTGAATATTCAGTTCAACTTTATACTTCCCTGATAATCCCAGGAATAGGGAGCATCCCTGTTCTTTAATATGAGTTCCTTCTTTCTCAAATAGGTAGACCAGACATTTTACTAATCATTACATGATACTGACCTCTTTCGCTCAGTTCCCCACTTCTATGCATGATGTCACATAACTGCATTTCACCTTAAGCTTTGGCAGTGTTTGGTACTTCTCAGTATAGTCATTTGTACTCTCTCCTTTAAGGACTGGCTATATGTGCATTAATTATCTCTGTATATCCTGTCAAAGAATGGGATCACAAAAGGTAAACTTGCTCAAACAGGGGCTTCTCATAAATTTTTCCGATGTAAGGAATGTGGAACCTATAGCTCTGACCCAATATTGCCATCCCCTTATTTCATGCCCCCTGATATCCTGTACTTGTCCAATTGTTTGCACTTCTGTATTATGGTTATATTTGATGAATGAAAATAAGCTGAAGTACTGCACTTGGTATCATATCTACAAATAGTGGTGTTTCTCTTTTATCTAACTTGATAAAGCAGAAACTAATCTAGGCAGTTAGAAACCATAAATCTTTAATTAATAAAAGTAAACTTCAAGGTTTTCAGCTCAAAGAGGAGCAGAACAAAAATCTGCTGCTGGGCCAGGAGCAGAAATAGTGGAAATGAATTCGCTGTGCATGAGAGCTAGAAGAGGGAGGGATATAAAATCACGGCAACAGTCCTTGGTACCTAAGGGATGAGATGGGCACCTGCTAGATGTCCTCGGTGATTGTGGATGATGCAAATATTTGAACTTGTAATAGCTACGCAAATTCCAAAAACTCAGTAAGAGGAGACAGTGCAAATGCCCATTTTGGTCACCAGAAAATCTTTTGGTCTTGTAGCAGCTTCAAAAGTGGCAGTGTTTTCTTTGGGGTTTTGGGGCTTCTTTTAACTCATTAGCCTCACAGCATGAACTAAGGAGGCTTCTCTGCCTTTAGAAGAAGAATGGGCTAATTGGCACTCTGCTGTATCTTGGGCACTGGTAGCTGGAATATCTTTATTTTAATGTTTTTGACCTGTGCCAGCCTCAGTTGGCAATGCAGCATTGAGGAAAAAGCATAAGAAGCTTCAGTTTGTGCTCGTTATGATGGGTTAAAACAAGAACACAAAATCACTCATGTTTTTTGACTAAAAACTTATAGCTGTCAGAGACTTGAAGAGGGAGTGTTAGTTTATTGCATTTATCACCAGGGAGAGCGTGGTGCTCTCATTCTGCTACCTCTTTGCTAATTGTTTAGCCAGTCTTAGTTGTCTCCTAACTTTCAGTCCTGCATCTTCCTCTCAGACTTCTGCTGTAGCTGTTCAGACACTAATCGGATATTAATATAGACTTCTACAGTATCTGTACTTCTTCTTTGACAGAAACTCCTGCTAGAGCACACTCTCTCAGTGCTCTTATACTAAGTTGTCGCTGTGCATTGCTTTGTGCCTGTTGGCATAAATGCAGGAGGCTGAGTCTGCTTCTCTTTCACAACAGGTACTGTTTCTGTAGGTCTTCGTTTTTGTCAGTTTGGCAGTGTCTTTGTCCCCTTTTGTGACTGGGAATTTTGGGGCAATTTTGACATCTGTCTTGCCCTTTTTCCTTCCATTTTTCTTGTCCTAGCAACACATCAATGTTAATCTTTTTTTACCTGTTGGGATATTTTCTGATCTTCTCAATGACCAATTGATGTATTTGTGATTAAATAAAGCATATTTGTCACTGAGTCAGCTAAAAATGCTGATCACTTGAGAACTGCATTTTCATGTCTCTGTGCTTGCCTTAATCACTGATTTTATAATTTGTCTGCTGAATATTTTTGTTTTACTTAAAATACACTGGAAATATCACTGTTTCATCTTTGGATAAACTCAACAGCTAGTACGTATGATGGAGGAAGAAGGTAACCATTTTAGAATTTTTAGGGGGAGGAATTTTTTTGTTTGTTCATAATGAACAAATGATATCTTGTTACTGTTACTTGGAATTCATATGCAGTGGTTTATTTGTTAGTATTCATGTATGGAAGAACAAAAAGATTTTTTTTTTTTCCCTCCAGTATTATCCTTTGAATTCATAGATTTTCTGTTGTTTTTTTCTTTTTCTTTTTTCCCTCCAGCGGTGAATGGAAAGTGTTTTCTGGAAATGAGCTGGGAGCTCTTTTAGGCTGGTGGATCTTCACTTGCTGGAAAAATAACAATAGGGATACTTGTGCCATTAAAGACGTCTACATGTTATCCAGTACTGTTTCTTCCAAAATCCTGAGAGCAATTGCATTAAAGGAAGGTTTTCACTTTGAGGTAAGCAACGTATTATAAGTTGTTCCATGTTCTTTTATTTGCTTTCCTACAGAGTGTCATATCTTTGTAAAACATTGCTTTTATTTTTAATGCCTTTTTTTTTTCCCTCCTCACTGCTGTAGGAAACACTGACAGGTTTCAAGTGGATGGGCAACCGTGCCAAACAGCTCATGGACCAGGGAAAAGCTGTTCTTTTTGCATTTGAGGAGGCTATAGGTAAGAAACAGAATGTTATGTTCTGGCGTCCTGTAAAATAAGGAAAGTAGGACTACTGCAAAAAATGGCAATACAAAGGTGTCCTCAACACTGCGGGTGTATTTCCAGTGAGTAATCAATAATCAGCCATTTGGCTGATTGATATTACTAGTTTTAATCCTTTGTATCTGTCCTTAGCGCAGAGTATGGTGATATGAGCTAGGTGTATATATCTTTAGTAGCATGGCTATGTACAGTTGGACTGCAAATTCTGCACAAGGTATTTAAAAAAACAAACACGTCTTTCAGACTGCAAGTTAAGTATATGTTTACCTGACAGTTCTAAGATTAAATGTGAATAAAATAAAGTAAAAACTCCCCCAAATTACACTTGTAAACTGGAAAGCCATAAATAAAAGCTCTGAATTCCTGAGAAGGAAATTGTAAAGCTGAAATGCTATTTCTTGAGTATCTCACTACCTGAAAACCAGAGAAAATGTGACCAATTTCACAGATAATTATCAGTGTTACCATATGCTGCCATGTAAGGGTAATCACATTTGAGACAAGGCTCGTGCAGTGTGACATGTCTCTTTCATGAGACCTCCAAAAGTACTCGGGAGCATCTGACACTGATACAATACAAATCTGTCTCTTATCTTGAAATGTCATTAAATACCTTGCTTATCAAAATTAACACTGATTAGAAGATACATTTTTTCCACTTTTGGTTTAACTCTAAAATGTCTGTACTATGGCAATGTTGATTCCTCCTTTAAGAGATGCTGGTTCGATTAACTCCCTTCCCCCCTCCCATCTTATTTCCTCATACAAATATATATAATTTTCTTTGTTTAGGGTATATGTGCTGTCCTGCTGTTCTGGACAAAGATGGTGTCAGCGCTGCTGTCATAACCGCGGAGATGGCTAGCTTTTTGGCAACCAGGAATTTGTCATTGTCTCAGCAGCTGAAAGCTGTCTATGATGAGTGAGTTTGATTGTAATTGTTTAATTTTCAGATTTTCTCCATTCCACATAGCGGGGTTAATATGGAGTCAATAGCAACCTATAGTATATGAAGAAATAAAAATTGGATTATTGTACTATTAACACAAAATTGTGTTAATTTTCTAGATTATAGAAGTACTATATTGTACTGTTATTACTATTGTACTATTATTACTATTACTAATATTGTACTATTAATACAAAATTGTGTACATCTTCTGGAAAGTGCTCCTGCCTCATGGGCATATTTATGGAATTTATTTATGAAAGATATTTATGAGTTTGTTTTGTGTTATTTTAAAAATAATAATATTACTTTACTAATTCCCTATTAGTTAATGAGTTGTTGAGGTATTTTTGTTTGCTAGTCTGAAAGGCTTTTCTCTTTTAGGAAGTTCTGCTTTTGGGTCTTTTTACAGAAGATTGGCCTGGTTTTTGGCCAGCAGTGTTGCCGTATTGTAGAGATCATAGTGCCTCTTGCTGCTTAAGTGTGTCAGACGCACAAAAATGTTGATTGCAGAATGGGTCTAAGCAGCTCTGGCATATTTATGCTACTCATAAAGCCAGTTAGCATCTGTCCTGCTTGCAGGGCTACATGTGATTAAATTAGTTCTAATTGGCTCTAAAGTTAGACTTTTTACGATACTATTCTGGCTTTTTTTTTATGGATAGTACACGTAGTTGGATGTTCTCTTCCTGCTTCTGAATACTGAGGTTTGAGCTGATTATGCAGAAGTGCTTGCTGGCTTTAGAAAACTTCCAAACACAGCTGTATGCAGCTGAGTCTCCTTCTCAGAGCTTTTAATATGAGGCTCTGCTTTTCTTTTGTTCTTATTTAATGTGTTCAAAGACCTTTCATGGGGCGGGGAATGGTTTTTGTGGGGGATTTGGGTTGGTTGTTTTCAAGGAGAGAGCAGCGCAGGCTGGCTGATACTCTCCACCTCTTCATGTCTCAAAGACTCTAACAAAGGAGTGGTGGAACCTGCAAAGAGACTCATGGAAAACTCCAGCCTTGGTGCTCCTTGTTTTACTGATCCTCAGAGCTCTCATTAGCAGGCAGCGCTAGCCATGCTTGTTTCATCCACTGTTTAAGAAGGAATCAGGTGGCAAAGACTTGCTAACACTCTGTATAAATAAATTGTGGGATTTATCAGCTATTGTACATGGCAGAAGGAAACAGTAATGTAAATGCATGGAAGAGGAATTCATACCTATAGCTACAAATATAGCATCTGACATGAGAATTCCCTTAGTTACTAGTAGCTGGAAGTGTATATTCAAAGAATTATCCTTCTCTGGCTCATGTTTTTTGGTTTGGTTCCGCC